ACATAATAATTTTATAATTTGAAGATGGTTTAATTACTCAAAGAGATATATAATCACAGAATGATTCTACAACTCTGGGGTCTGGGGTCTTACACTTGAATCCAGTGTTACCTTGTGGCCATGAGACTCTAAACATAGAAAGTCCAGCATACATACCTGGAGAGTGTGTGGAATTCACATATCTCAAAGGTGATCACCAGGATCAAATAAACTTAGGAATCTGAGTTGATCTTTGAGGATGATCATACAGTTTGTTTGTATTGAAGAACACGAACATGACCACTTAGGGGATGAGAGCTAGATCAAATAATCCACAGCCAAGGTTGGGTTTTGCAATCATGCAGACTTGAATTTGAATTGTAGCACTTCCAAAAGTTCATGCTTTACTAGGGCAAATTATTTTATAAGTGTAAGCTTCACTTTTTTCACAAACAAAATCTAAATTATACTACATACAGTGATGTTTGAAGACCTGGTAAAGGGTTTGGGCAATGCCAACCCCTAAGCATTGCCCAAACTGGACTTCAGACCAGGTTATCATGACACACAGGTCAGGAATGATGTTTCCTCTTTCAAAGTTGAGTTCCTGTAGTTCTCTTTTCTCCAGAAGCAAAAGATTATTCTTCCCTAAAGATTAGCGCAGTCCACTCCCCTCTAGAGAGTACCCCATTTTTTGCCAAGGAACCTAATTTATTGCATACTGTAACATTTGGCTTTGGTACTAGATGGTAGAACAATGTATACCATAACCTTTTTGCAGTTTCCATTATATATATTTTGTACCTGAAAGAAGTAATTACTCAAAGCTTACTCCTTGCTCCAAGTGTAGAAATCAGGGGTGGAGACTTGTGATTCAGTAATTCTTGTGATACTTCCTCTCCCTTTTCCCTATGATTTTCCCAGCCAAGGCATAATTCCTGTGATTTGACTTGAAATAGGAAACCAGCTCAGTACTGAGTGATGAGATCTGAACGGGAATAAAATATGCTTGAATTAATTTGCATAATAGAATCCGATTGGTTACAAAGCTGTGTTTGTTGGAGGGAAGACCAGAGTCCCTGAGCTCATCAACAAGGGCACATTACAGATACAGAATGGGATTTTGAGTTCTGGTGTGGGCCTGGGTAATATTCTTAATGTAATGATAACTTGTCTTTAGCTGTAAATTAGCTACCTGGAAATAAAAAGAATGGGTCAGCCTGTCTGATCCTTCAAGCTCTGCAGGGAGGAGAAAGCTGAGAAATCAAATCCGCTTGCTTTTTGCAAAGTGCTTTCGTCTTTCTTTCTCTAACCAATAACAATTTTCAGCAGGAGTCCAAATATACTTAAACACCCATATATGTCATTTTCTTTCACAGAGACAAAAGCAGGCGTAGCAAGAGAGTTTTATGCCCAAGGCACAGTAGCCTATGACGGGCTATCTGCTCTCAAGATAGAGAGGTGAGCCTTCCACTTAGAGCTGGTGGTTTTGCAAATCCATTTTCCTGTCATGTTATTACTCCTGTGACTTTCAACAACATTTATTTTTCCCTCCTAGCAATGTGCTCCCATCATAAAATAAAGTACTCCTATATGTTTCAGCAGAATCCAAATGCTTAGGCATCTTGGCATATTGCTGGAAAGTACTGTAATAGAAGAATGTCCAAGAACTACCTTGGGGGACTTTATTAAAACTAATTAGAACATTGATGTATTCCCCCAATTATTACCAACATCAAGGTCTTCTTAGGAGGGTGGTCTCTTATTAATTTTCATGTGTGATTCCTGTAAAACCTCCAGCCCTAAGTACAGCAATCTGTTCTCTAGATCCTAGAAGTATTTCTTTTAAACAAAAGTGAAGAAAAGCTCCTTGAATACATCATTTTAACCTATAAAAAACTTAGAAATTCTAAAATAGGGATTTAACATTAAAATACAAAGATTGACTTCCATAAAATATATAGATGAAAACATGGTTTTAGTGTATTGTTGGTGGACTGTGAATTGTTAATCTTTGCTTTGGCCATTACTATGAAATGTTTTCTCTTTCTAGTTAGCTTAATATTTTGGCAGGTGGATCACTCCCCCATCACATGGTAAAACTTAAATTATTATCATGGAAGATATCTTCTCCCCTCTTTAGAAAAGCAATACTGAGTAGAATTTCAGGGACAGAAATACAGAACCAGAATCCAGCATGAAGACTCAGCCTCAGCTCCTTCACTTTCTGGGCTCTTTAACCTTGGGCAAGTTACCTAATTTTGGTACACCACAAACTGTTTACCTGTACAGTGGAAATAACAGGACCACTATTTGGGGAGGTATTGTAAGGGGAGGTATTTTAATGATAAATTGATTCATCTCATGGAAAGCCCTTACAAGAATATTAAGCAGATAATATCTGATGAATGCTTACTATTACTGATATTTTCATCATAGCCATATTACTGGTATGCATTAAATTTCAGTGATGACTTATGTCCCACATTCAGGCAGCTCACGGTTGCCCTTTCTATCATAGTGCCTATATCATTTCCTCACGCACTTCAGAAATAAGATACTATTGTAAAATGGTATTGTCTGTTCACTGGTTTAGAATAGTTACTAGAGTAGTTATAGAGCAGATAGCATCAATTTGAATATCGCCATTACTGAAGCCTCACCTAGCACAAGCTGCTTAATTTATCTAGGGCTCAGTTTCTTTATTTAAAGCAAGAAGATCCAAGATACTCATTTATAAAGTTCTTACAGAATCAATAGATGGGTTAATATTTGTCAAGTTCTGAGAAAAAATAATTTGCTAAATAGATTTTCATTCTGAAAGTGAATAAACAAAAATCTTAAAATTTATCTTGCACAAAACTAAGACTACTCATGAAAATAACGTATATTGCATGCATTTTATAATCACTTAAAAATAAGTCTGAGTAATTACTTTTAAAGGCAAGTTGGCATTGCTATTAATTCCAACATAAGAAAAATAGATTAATTTATCTTTCTGAGAAAGAGTGAGGTTTGCTGTTTATTGGTCATAGGGAAACTCATACACTCAGTATGAAGCTTGAATATTTTATACAAGGGAAAAAAGTTGTCATCTAGTTTCAACACTTTAGCATCAGAAATAATTGTGTTTTACAGCAAAATGGCAGCCAGAAGAAAGAAGTGCAGAAATATCAACTTTAATTAAACCTTTTCTCTCAAACACACTTCACAGTTTATATGCAGGAATAATTTATCACCAGCGAATGAACACTTAATACTTGGCATGGCACATAGTGGACAGAGATCTTGCTGTCCCATCTGCTCTTTCCTTTCTCTTGTTTCTTCTAGAGTTTCCACAGATTCAGCCTTCAGTGTGAACTCATCGTATGTGGTCTAAATCATACATGCAGATTTACGAATGGCCTGTTTTGAGCTCACCGACCTGGTATGGTGGTGTGTGTCACCTGTAATCCCAGAACTCTGTGAGCATGAGGCAGGGGAATAGCTTGGGCAGTTTAGCTACTTATCAGACCTTGTATCAAAATAAAAAGTTTAAAAAGGGCTGTGGACATAGCTGAGGACAAAGGTCTTTTACCTTAATCCCCTGTACCACGACCACCCCCCCCAAAAAAACAATAAAGAATGTAAATTAAAAGAAATGCCTCCTAATCTCTTGTCAGAACTCTCCTAACAGTGAGTACGAGGCCAGAAGTGCTTGCAGAGCATTCTACTCAGTAGCTTCATTTTGCAGAGGAAGGGGCAGAGGGAAATGAACAAGTTCTGTAACATGTTTTTGGCAGGGTCCTGACCAAGTCTTCACTAGGAGAGCTTCTTGTTGCTCCCCATTGCCTCATTTTAGGATCTCTTCTCCCCTGGGGCCCTCTCTGTGATAGTTCCATGAAGCCTGTTTTGCTTGCTAAAAACACCTTTTGATGTATTATTAAAAAGCTGAGTTGAAGGTGAAGCTGTTAAATGATGACACTGCTTTCCAAGGCTCCTCTTCCTCTCCTACAGCTTTTACCACCCCAGAGTGTCTCTGTACAGCAAACGCTGAAATTTTAAACTGCTATTCTTTGAAAAGAAATACTGTCAAAGTGTTACTGAGCACAGCGGTGGACACCTAAAATTTATAATACTTTGCAGCCTCCCTAGATAACAGATTGCCATATTATTATAAGAAAAACAGGAAGATTTGAGTTGACAGAGGCTATGCCCCCAGAAACGAAGGGGTCAGCACCAACAACCTAGAATTTCTCTAATGCCCTCATTTCCCAGACCACTAAGGCCACATGGCTGTAGAATCTTGTGTAACTCTGTTCCTCAATTTCTTTCTTGGAGAAAGTACATTATCGCCCTCTTCTGGGCATCTCTGTTTGCAAGGCCAGGTCACCTTTGTCTGCTGAGATTTGAAGACTTTGACTGCGGTACTCTGGGAAAAGAAAAAGAAACCCAGCTCATGCCTTGTTCCCCACTCTACAGAAGTTTATGATGTCCTCATTTCTCACAGAACACCACACAGGCCCACAGTGATCGAGTGAGATGCACAAAGTCACTTAGATGATAAAACATACAAGTGGTATTCCAACCAAGGTCTATCTTATCTCCATTCAGGACTGAGAACAGTCATTGCCTCCCTCTTTAGTAAATCTCTCCTGACTACTTAGCCTCTGCTACACCAGGGTAGACCTGTGTTCTTTCCTGGGCTTCCATAGTGGCCCAAGTTTCTTTATTTCTAGAACATAATCAGGCCTAGTTATGACCAATTATAGTACCAGATCACTGCAAAAGGTTCTCTTAGAGACTGAGTCTATGGGACCAGGCAATATGCCGAGTGACTTATTAAGGCATTATTCACTGTGCCAAGCTTGCAGTGCTGCTTTTTTCTCCATTTCATAAGTGAGCAAGATGAGCTCAAAGAAGTCAACTTATCCAACCCTGGCAAGTGGTAAAACTACTGCTCACACCTGATGTTTGTAACTGGTAATGGAGTGATGATGAAGCCTGCAGCTAATCGAACCTCTCTCTCTCTCTGGTTGCAGAAGCTGACTGGGGAAGTGGGTATCCCTGACGTGATGTGCTCAGAAAGCGAAGACATTCCATTCAAAGAGAGGTCTGCTTGACACATCGGGAGGCTATCGTCAGAAAGACTGCCACTTGGTTGGTGGAAGGGGTGACGCTGCATTCCCTTGTGCCTACCACATAACCAAAAATGAAGGAGAACTACTGTTTACAAGCCGCCCTGGTGTGCCTGAGCATGCTGTGCCACAGCCAGGCATTCGCCCTGGAGCGACGAAGCCACCTGCACCCCTCATTCCATGGGCACCACGAGAGAGGCAAGGAAGGGCAGGTGTTGCAGCGCTCTAAGAGAGGTTGGGTCTGGAACCAGTTCTTCGTGATAGAGGAGTACACCGGGCCTGACCCCGTGCTTGTGGGCAGGGTAAGGTTGCTTTCATTCAGTACCCGTCCATGTTCCTCCACTATGGAAGAAGTAGCATATGGACACTAGAAGTGAAAAGAACTAACAGGGAAAACACTAGTGATCTGTCATGAATATGCCCCAACATCAGTCTATATACATTCTTCTAATCATTGTCTCCTTGATTCATACACTTACCAATGTTTGAGAATATTTCAAATTTATGTTATACCATAAAAACACACTTGCAGTTGCTGCTTAATAGTCTTCTGAAGTGAGAGTGGTCATAATTTAATCATTTTCCACATAGGGGCCTTCCTCAGATCATAATTTAACTGTCAAATGGATGCCCCCCTTTTTTTCTCAAAGCCTTTGGTGTTCTTTGTGTCATAGCTTTCTCTTTTGTGTGACACACAGATATTTGTTTGTCTATCTTCTTCACTAGATCTCAAGATGCATTGCATCATATATGTGATTTTCATCCCATTTGCTTAAGTAGTTGGCTTATTCTCTAATAAGAATAGGTGTAAATTTATCCTTTTTGCACCAGGGATGGTAAAACCTTGGTAGAATGACTCCAGATGTTCAGCACTGATCAAGTTAAGCATTTTTTGTGTAGTCTGCTCAAAAATAACACAAGTGTAAAGAGTTCAAGGCACACTGGGGAAATTACTTCCCATTATTGTTTGTGGTAAAGCACACATCTATGTTTCAGGTAATATTGAGATTAACTAAGAAATGAAACCCTACTACCCTCAGGTGTACAACTAGGCAGATGGTGACAAAGAAGCTCAGAATGTAGGGAGAAAGAGTTACCTATGTGGTCATAAAAGAAAAACCAAAGTGTGGGGGGGTAATGCAATTCACTGTACGTGATTAGGAATTTGTATTGTAACGTTTAGGAGACGTGAAGGAAGGTTTCGTGAGGAACAGAATAATGTCTAGTGATCTAAAGGAAGAGTGAGACCCATTCAGTAAAGGGGGGAGTGAGATGAGAGACATCAGAGGTGCTTACTGCTGGTCCCAAGGATCCAAACACATTTATCCTAATTTCCCTTAATATGAGAGCAGGACTCTGTAATTATATAATGAACATACTGAGAGAAGGCTCATCATAGCCTCAATAATACTGTTTAGGGTTAAAAACACATCTTCTTGCAAAGATGTACCAAAGGAATTTTAATCATTTATACCTTAACTGAAAGATATGGATACTGTCCTGCAAAGCCAAAATGCAGAGGGATAAATGGCAGAACTAGTGAAGTTGGGGAGATGGGCTACATGTTCAGAGAGGACGCAAAGACCTTGAGTCAGGGAAAAGGTTGGTGGCTTTGTAATGTGTGGGGATTTGTATGCATTATTCTGAGACAATAGAACTTTAGCTTTGAAGCTTTCTTACCAGGGAGTAATGTCTGCTGTTGGATGGCTAGGTGCTAAGGATAGGAGCTGGGGACCCATTTTGTCATCTCTGCAGACCTAGCAACTGCCATGCCTATTAGAAGGGAACATAGGGGAAAAAAAGGAGGCAGAACCCTAACCATTCAAAGTATATGGTGTCCCAAGTTAGACATTAGAAAATAAGTCTAATTTAGTTTGGATGAAAAAGAAAAGTGGCCGGATCTATAGGTCATCCTTTGGAAACAGTGCTGGGGTGGTTCTCTAATATCATTTGCCTTGTCGACATTAAGGTTGAGTAGTTTAAGGTTCCCTGAGAAAAGTAAAATTTGACAAAGCATAGAATTCCAGGTTTCTTATAGCAAATACAGTCTGTCTTGTGCTGTGCTGTCCAGAGCGGGAAGCTGTCCATCCTCCGGATTCGGGAGTTCACTGCTTGCTTCAACATCCTGGTTCCTTCAGAGGGGCTTCTCAGATCATTGTTTGTGTGGAACCTGATAAACATCATTGCCATTTATATACTTCATCTTTGTAAGGATTGAAAAAAAAAAAGGAAATTTATGTTCAGCTTTCTTTTGGGGAGTGGGCTACTGGGAATCGAACTCAGAACCTCATGCTTGCCAGATAAGCAATGTACCGCTGAGCTAATCATGGCTTTATATTCGACTTTCAAACTCGTAAAAAAAATATGAAGTGTATTTTTTAGAATTTTCATGTATTTGACTTACCATGAAATGAATCTCTTTAATTCCTATGAGACAGCCAAATTCATATGTAATAGATGAAGTTCCCAGAAGCTTTCAGTGACTAAGTGTTCCCATGTATTATTTGCTCCTCATTCACAGGACTTACCTCTAACTGCACAGAGACCTGAAACAGGGAATTGAAACAACCAACCTTAAGCTTTCAGGGAAGGATTTAGATTTGGGGTATGGCTGGGTACAGCCTCCATTGAGAAAATCCGTATGAAGGCTGGAGTAATTCTGTCCATTGAGTGTAGGTCATCAAATAACTTCATATCTCACTCAGAACGACCTTATTCTTAGGAAATGTGTCAGTCATAATTTCAGGACAATACACGACTTGTTATAAACACTGAAATGTGAAAATGTTTTCCTACTCAAAAGGAAACCTATACTGTAAATAAATAAATACAATTTATATATACATATATCTTTCGAAGCTGAAGTATTTAATGTTTCAGTGAATCACCACAAATCAATTAGATACCACTTGGGAAGTTGTAATAATACGTGAATTTTAAAAGTAGTTTGTCCAATCTTGCTTTGTAACCATTAGCAAGCTTGCTAGGACTTGGGTTTTTAGTAATAATTAAAGTTACAGTCATAATTATATTTTACTATTAAGTGGAGTTAATAGCAATAATCATTATTGTTTACACTATTTTAATTGCTGTTTAGATAAAACTACTTAGTCTATTTTATAATGGGTTTCCCTCTGTAGCAAGTAGAAAGGAGGGCTTTTTATATTTGGCTGCTCCAGAAAGTTATGAGAATGGTGAAACACCTGCTTATCTTGTCCATAAAGGTAATAGTGAGGAATTCAGATTAATATGACAGCTGCAGAAATTGAAATTGGATCATGGAGGATAGTAAGAAACTCACTCCTGCAGGAAAATCAGGCAAAGTCTCTAGGAGAGTTTTGTGTTCCAAAGCAGAGCAGAGTTAAAGCAAAAAGCATAGGATTAGTCGTAAAGAGACGTGAATGGTTTCTGGGGCCTGAAAAGTGTGGCTTCAGTGAAGTACATCCTGTCTGCAGGCTTTTTCAAAGAAGGGAAAAGAATAAGGGTATATAAAGTTTCCAGGGTCTGAGGAATTGCATGTCCATGAACCCATCCCACCCACCCTATCTTTAGGTTGCAATGAGCCCTTCTTCCTTGAAGATCACACCCCCTAATCTTTAGACCCTGCATGCAGCATAGCTGGAATTTTTGACAGGTGTGATCAGTTAAATTTGTTTGGTATTAACATAGCCTGGGAACAGCCTAAGTGTCCTGTAGAGAGGCCTGTTAAAAGAAATAGATACAGCCTATGGGTGAGGTAGATCTGTATGTATAATACCGAAGGGACACCTGAATTCACTGTTAAAGAGAAATGGCATGGTGTAGAATGATGCGTGCTTTAAGGCATTTTAGTATGTAAAAATTAGAATATATATAGCTCTGTAGAGAGGTGCTCCATGGACCATGCATGGACTAGGATGTCTCTTAGATGATTCACAGTGAACCTAGCAATGGTGACTTCTGAGCAGCCAAAATGACTGAATGGATGACAGAACTGTAAGTTAAGACTAACTATATAAATTTTTCATGTGTATATTTTAAAATATGCTTATGTTTTTCTCTGAATAATTATTAAGATGTGTGTGTGTGTGTGCATGTGTGTGTGCGCACTATAGCAGTCATCGTGTGTGTTTGTGTTGCCTTCCTGCCTGATGAGATAACAAATCGTGATTTCTCTTTCCCTAGCTTCATTCTGATCTTGACACTGGTGATGGGAAGATTAAATACATTCTCTCAGGTGAAGGAGCTGGAACCATTTTTGTGATTGACGACAAATCAGGGAACATTCACGCCACCAAGACGCTGGACCGAGAGGAAAAAGCTCAGTATACACTGATGGCTCAAGCAGTGGACAGGGAAACGAACCGACCACTGGAGCCGGCTTCCTCATTCATTGTCAAGGTCCAGGACATTAATGACAACCCGCCAGAGTTTCTACATGAGATCTATTATGCCAACGTGCCTGAAAGGTCCAATGTGGGTGCGTAAGTGGGAAGATCTGCTCTATTTCCAGCCCGGCTGCCAGGAGCTTGGGCTGCTGCCTGTCTTCCCAAATCAGGAAATAGAACTTAGGCTCTATCTTCAGTGCCATCATAGCAGCAAAGAATGTTCATTTGGAGAAATGAAATTGCAGATGTTTACAATGGGCTTAAGGATTTTAAGTCTGAACTTATTTAAAAGAACAAGAGTAGAAAAAAGAGAAATAATTTGATTGGGTTCAGGAACCCTGAGTTTTGTATTATTAGCTGTATAACTTGGAACCAGTTAAATCTATTCTCTTAGCCTTTGTTTCTTTTTCCATAAAATGAGAATAATAATTCCTGGCTTTGTAGGACTAGCAGTAACATGCACCTACTTGTAGCACATATTGGTGCTTGATAAATAAGAGCAACAGGAATATTTCTTACAGATAGACATTGTGCCAATTGGTGACTCAGGCACACAATTTTAATTTTTGCTGTGATTAAGTCTAATAGGCCATATTTTACAGATGGCATCTCAAGACAGAAACAAATTTTCTAATTTTTCCAGGGTAATCTTTGCTTCTAAGTGATCTAGAATGCACACATATCTACACCACTATGCCCTCACCTATTAATTGAGAATTAGGTATGTGTTTCCAGTGTACTGGAACATTGTGTAAATATTAGTTTGTGAAGGGTTGCCTTAACTCATCCCTTCATCCAGGCAAGACCTTTCATTTGAGTTCTAGAATGCATGGTGGTCTTTTGAGGAGTGTACCTCACTGAAAGACATTTGCCTTTCACACAGTGATCAGGAAATGAATCTGATCAGATGAGCTCAAATTAATTTAAGACTCACCAGAGAAAAAGTAACCCATTCCACAAATGAGACAAGTAAACACTGCCTATGACAGGGCTGCAAGGCTGCCTATGAGAAAGCTAGCTATGGCCTTCTCTTCTGCATGTACTTTCCCTGTGTCAGAACGTGGTGTCTTCTTAGAGTTCTCACATTCTGTGAAAGTCAGGCTGAGTTGTTTCCCAGTTGCTTCCTTTCTCCTCTTCCTACCTGTCCTTTACTTTCTGCATACGCACACGTAGATTCTAATGAGAGACAACAGGTATCAAATAAATCTGAATAAAAGGGGCCCAGTAGTGCCAGGAACTGAACACTGGGGTGGAGGGTCAGTTTGGGAAACCAGTCATCATGAAGGACACCCTGTGGGAACCATCACTGTTCTCACTCTGGAGGTTCTTTGATGCTGACGGACAGTACTCAGGCTTTCTATTATGGATCAAGAAAGTACAGTACAGTCTGTATTGTGGACAGTATCAGCACTGACTCATTGCTGTACCTTTAACTAGTCATATAAACCTGGACCTCTTCCTGTAACTTTCTACATTTCATTTTCATCTAGAAAAACAGGCTAGCATACACTGTGAGGATTGCTAAAAAACACATGCAAAACACAAAGATTTATAAAGCATCTAGAGATTTAGGAGTAAATTAAGCATAAAACTAGTAATGTCCCTATCGTACCACAGTGGTATTCTCCTTTATAAATCTCTGTTGCCAAGCATATTGCTTGGCTTGTGGGAAGAGTTCAAAAAGTGTCATTTGTATGAAACAGTGAATTATAGAAGACTGATTTGAAAAGAGATTTGCTTGTGTACCCCCCACAAATGTTCTGACAACCCTGTAAAGGGTAGTTAGAAGGGGTGTAAGTGGACCACCTTGCCTCCCACATGGAACCTTGCCTCTCTGTAGAAAATTTCACAGAAAAAACTTGAGTTCATTGCTTGCATGGTTGGTTTAAACTGCTAACTTTGGAAATAAACATCTTTGTGAAAGAGATTATCTAATGTTGTACGTCTCACACCAAATTTCCCCCACATAAATGGATGGGAAATACCAACTGGTAGAAAATACTGGCAAACATGCTACTAAATTCATAATAATAAAAACATAATGCTGATTCCATACATGGAGTGCATCCCAAATAACGCCTTGAGCAGAGAAACTGTATAATTGCCTAATCTTTCCTTCTAACTCCCCTTTTTTCACTCTGAAAACCAATGTTCCATGTTCTGGATACTTGTCAGTTGTGACCAGCAAGGAACAGAAGGGATTTTTAAAGAAAGAAAGAATACCAGAATTGCATATTCCTCCAATTACTAGGTTTCCTGAAATTTTGGTTCACAGAGGTTTACCTTAGTTCTCACCACGTATCAACTGGTACGTCCTGTTTCATGGATACCAGACCTATTACAGGTGGGAAAATTCAATTTTCATGCCAGTAGGAAACAACATCCACACAATATTTATAGCCATAAATTAATTAAAATGTAGTATTAGGAACAATTTTATGGCATGCAAAGCAACAATAAAATCCTATATTTATTGTTCTGCTACTGATGGGGGATTGCACTCTGTCTTTTCTTGAAAAGCAATTCATCATTAATTATCATTTATTATACTCTTTGGGAAGATTTTTATTTAATTATGTGATAAACTCAGCATTTCAATTGCATGGGTCTCAGACTATTTGGCAATAACAATCATATCATTCAAACTACAAGGCATAGCAGGGTGTACTGCAAATATAGAAAGTTTAGTTTTACACTGTGAGAATTAACAAGTAAAAAGGAGGAAACGGAAGAAAGGAAAGAAGGAAGATTCAAGGAAAATAAGAATGTGTTGGGATTCTTTTCTGCATTTAATTTATAATGAAACTTTATAAATAATAATTATTCTGAAAATCGAAGACATGGTACTAATCAATTTATTCTCCTTCTAAGGAACATCGGTGATTCAGGTGACAGCTTCTGATGCAGATGACCCCACCTATGGGAACAGCGCCAAGTTAGTGTACAGCATCCTTGAAGGACAGCCTTACTTCTCAGTGGAGGCGCAGACAGGTACTGTGGAATGCTGCCACCACTGTGACTTAGGGCAGATTGCAGATTAGAGTCCATGCTTGCTCAGTGAACCTACCTAAATCTCAGTTTCCCCAAATAAATAAAAAAGGACCAACAAAAGCCACCTAAGTAGATTAATGTGAAGATTCAGCACTGGATCCATGTCCTGGTGTATAGCTAGCATGCAGCGAAACATGTTTATTATTGCTTCTGCCCATATTTCACAATGTAGCAATAACAAAGAATCTTTAAATTTAATATTATTAAATTCAAAAAAGTCTTGATCTGTGGATCCAAGTTAAGAGACCATAGGAATTGGAGCCTGGTATAAAGGCAAGCAGCTGTCAAATTATGCTCCGAAGATCATTCTTCAAGACTGGGGGTGGCAGAGGTGTATGCTGATATTCACACTGATTTAAGGTGTAGCACTTGCCCAGTCTCTCTTCTTGTACTCATAGCTTCTCAGTGGACAACATCACACAGAGAGGAGGTTCTGTGCATTTCTTATGGAAAACAAAGAGTAAACCCAAGAAGTATATAAGTGTACAAACAAAACCAAAGCCCAAAATATTTCACATAATTTATACCGAATTTAACTCTCTAGAATAAAGACTAAAATTCTATGAAACTGCTAATCTTCGATATTTCTCAAGGACCTTTTCCTCTCCACAATATGTCTCATCTTTTTGAAAGATCAGGACAAATATTCTTCACTTATTATAATTAAAATTTATAGCATATGTGTATACTTATACATACACTTAACCTATCAATTGAATATTTTGCCCTTTTACTTAATATAATTTTAATTTGCTTGTGTATTCATTTATTTGTAGCTGCCTTGTTTTTGAGTGTAACTTATGGAGTTACTTGCTATGACGGTATCCAAGACATTTATCATTAACTTTTGCATTTTAATCGAGAAAAGCATGAACTTCATCTAGACATTTGAAATTTAAAAAAAAAATACCCTCCACCATTTATCTTTTTTTTATTTAATGAGAAAAAGAAAAAAAAAACAGAAAAAGGGAGTAAGTAGTACAAAATTTAAAAAACAAACAGTAAGAAATCACTAGTTAATAGATTACATATTCTCTTCTTAGAAATAGTTGTTCAAGTTACAAAATTGAAGCATAAAAAGTGGACTTTCAAACAGTGAAGTGGAAACAGTTTTGTTCAGTGATCCAAAACAACTCAGTAATATGGTTATCTATTTTATACACCTAAACATATATGCAGTTATAACCTTTAGAGCACTTTCTTTTCTTTTCTTTTGTACAATGACAATTACACATTTTGGGTTTTATTACTCCCACAGTTCTTATTACTTTTTTTGAAGAGAGTAAAACCAAATGCGACATATCAGAATAGACTCAGTCAAATCAAAAGGATGGACATAATAGATAATGTAAAAACAAAATACAAGGTGATCAACAATGGTTACCATACTGCCTCTTGCTATTTTAAGAAGAATTGCCAGTTATAATAAAATTGAACAAAACAGTAAAGAATAAAATCAAAGTATTGGAGACATTACAGGACTTTAAAAGAAAATAATAGTCAATCGGAATGGGCGTCATAATGATTCTTATTGTCTTCACAGTTTTGCCTATACTTTTGAACTTGGTACTATCAAGCAAAGCAGAATAGGGGAAAATCAGTCAAAACAAGATGGTTAGGGCAATACAGGATTTCAAATCAAGTTAATAGGAAATCAAAGTAGGTTACTATAATGTATCCTGATATTTTTTATTTTTCCCTTATTTAAAAAGATAAAAAGAAAAAGTAAATAATTTTTAAAAAGGGGATTGAGATAAAAGAGGGCATAATAACAGAACAGCGCAGGTCAAAACATACCCATTTAAGCAAAATAGTGTTTCACCACAAGATATCCTGACATAAATATAGTTACCATAGTGTCTCTTTCCTTGAAATCTTTGAGTACAACTTCGTATACTGTAGCACCAAACATATCAAGACACTATAAAACCATTCAAGAGAATGACATTATTACAGGGTATTTAGAACCAATTAACAGAAAATGAACAATGGTTTTTGTATAATCTTCTTGTCTATAAAAGTTTTTACTTATATTATCATATATAATAAAATCCAATAAGATACAACCTTTTAAGACCGATGGAGACAGAAGAATACAAGTTTGATGGGATTTCAAAACAAGATGATACTAAATCAACACTAGCTATTATGATGTCTTCTTTTCTCCAAAATAGCTGTTCCTACCATCCAATCTTCTCTGCCTTATTTCTGTTGAGTTCTTTTTCTGTCATTTGTTGTCAGTTTGTCTTCTTCATTTTGCTTTCTGCTCCATTCATTGTGGCCTCTCTGCCACTGTTTCTGAAGTCTTGGTATTTTCCTTCTTAGAATATCCTGCAGTATTCTCTGTGGAGTTAAATTGGTGGTAGCAAATTCCCCTAGTTCCTCTTTATCCTGGAAGCACCTTGTTTTTACATCAATTTCTAGGGACAGTTGTGCAGCATATATCAATGTTGGCTGGAGGTTATTATCTTTCACAGCTTGAATTATCCCCCCCGCCATGTTCTTCGTGATTTGATAGTTCATGCCGAGAAGTCTGCTGTCATTCTGTTGGGTGTTCCCTTGTAAGTGATCTGTTTCTTGTCTCTGACGGCTTTTAATATTCTGTTCTTATGTTGGATTTCTAGAATTTTGATTATTATATGCCTGGGTGTAGCTCTGTTTGGGTTATAGGTGGCTGGGGTCCTGTATGCCTCATATATCTGAGTATCTTTACCATTTGCTAAATTAGGGAAATTCTCTTGGATTATTTCTGTGAATAGCTTTTGTAGTCCATTTGTTTGTGTCCCTACTTCTTCTTTTATGTTCTTAATTCTTAAGTTATAGATCCTCTTATCATCTTCTAGCCTTTGTATTGTTGTTGTTTGGTGTTTTTTTGTTATTTTTAAGAAGTTTTTCATTCCATGCTCCCATATTACAAATCTGCCCTCCAGTTCAGATAATCTATCCTTAGTTCCTTTCAAGCTGTTATGCCAGTTTTTGATAGAGTTTGTAGTTTCCTGGTAATCTCTTTGAACCTGCTTCACGTATTCTATGTTTTCTCTATTTTCTCCATCACACAATTCTCCCCTTTTTTCTGTTCTTCCATTCCACCATCTGTTTTTTCTTGGGCGGTGCTTAGCATTTCTCTAACTATTCTACTTATATCTTGCTTCAGGTCATTAATAACTTAATTCCTGAACTCGTCTATGAGGCTCTGGAGATAGTGATTTATGTCTATTGGTCCTGTGTCTGATATTGCATGTTTCTCAGGATTGGGGGCTGAGGACCATTTCTTGTTGCTCCCTCTTCCCATATTTTTTGTTTCTTATATACAAGCATATATAGGAGGCCCAGTTTCTTTCTTTGTCAGTTACAGTTTGTTTGAATTGTGCTGGCTAGGTGTTCCCCCCCACTGCAGTGTACTAGGGAGACACAGACCTGGGCAGTCTATGCTGGGCTGCCCCTCCAGGTCAACCTACTGAAGGCTTCACTGCTAGTGTGCACCTCCTGGTGCTGGGACCTGGTTTGGGCTAGCCTACTGGGTCTTAGTCAGAGGCGTCACGCAGGCCAGGCACTCCCCACCAATCTTGCTTGAGAGGGGAATATGTGACTGAAGACCCTGCAACATCCTGTTCCTGGTAGTCTGCCCGGTCCCAGTATGTCCTTTGCTGAAGCCTCCTACTCTATGGAAGGGTTCCCGATCCACTCACGCACCGCAGATCGATGCAGGGCTCCCGGTCAGTCCCGCTCTCAACTCCATTCACTGCTTCCCACTCTCAGAGCTTTTGTGCCTCTGTCCTTGCAGTGCTGATTGGGATGCAGCAGTGGCTGCAGGAAATTCAAATCTCAGCTTCCAGTGGCGTGGGGTCCAGCTTCTGCACTGAGACCTTATCTGTTCTTGTTGTATCACTGGGATTGCATTTCCAGTTGTTTTCTCTTAATTTAGTTCATTCCTGAGTCTGCAAAGTATATCTCCCCTTGCTTAGGATTTCTTGCCTGGCACCATTCCTGGATTTTAAGTGCGGTTTCTCAGAGAACCTCCGACGCTGCTGCTATCTATCCACCATGTTCTCCCGGAAGTCACGCTCTGTGCCTTTAATGTATCCAATTTTTATCTGTCAATTCTACCTCAGTAAAGAGGCTGGAAGTTTCAGTCCATATTCAGCTGGCTCCAAGCAGCAGAATAGCATGGCGGGCCATCATTTGTGACCGCTGCAAGCAGCAGGGCGCCAACCAACAAGACCCACCTTTTATCTTAAGAATTCTTGGCTAATAACTGCCAATTTGAATCTATCAAATTACTTATCAAATAAGGGAAATAAGGGCCAGTGAGTTTCAGGGTTCTTCGTGGAAACATACCAACATAATGGAATACTAAATCTTCCTCAGGATTGTTTATAAATTTCTAGTTCAAGTGATACCTTAACTACAGTGAAGAAAAGCATCTGTAAATCTGCTGGAGATTTAGGTGAACAGAGTATTCATTCAAATCATGTTTCTGTAATCAGGGGTCACAAAGAATTCAATCATTAATTTACCACTGTTGTCAGTGGCAGGTGATTTTAGACAGTAAATATTTGCATAAGCATTGTGCATAATTCTAATGCATTTGGTTAACTCTTCCAAAAATTAATACTAGCTTTTTAATGTATTGTATGAAATATGTGCCTCTTAATTTAAATGTAATGCAGAGTATAAAAGTGTTTGCAAAAATTGCATGTGGAAATACATTTCCAAAAGATTTTACTAGAAGTCGAAAATACAGTTTTACTTACAGACATCCACCTAGTGGACATTCAAATATTTCAGTCTGCAGGATACTAATGCCTGAGGTTATTTCTTGCATGTAAAGAGAAATGAAACAAATTCATCCTCTGTAAGTAATTGTATGACTTGCTTGAATGAAACAAGCACACTTCAGGAATGGTTGCTTATGGTTAAATTTACCGTACTGAAATTTTCTTTGAGGACTTGAGGTGCTTTATTAATCTTTACCTACAATGTGTCCCACACATTTAGCTGTTGTATTCTGTTATAAATGATTGTCGTGTTTCCCGCTCTCTGCCCAGGTATCATCAGAACAGCCCTCCCCAACATGGACAGAGAAGCCAAGGAGGAATACCATGTGGTGATTCAGGCCAAGGACATGGGTGGACACATGGGTGGACTCTCAGGAACAACCAAAGTGATGATCACCCTGACTGATGTCAATGACAACCCACCAAAGTTTCCTCAGAGTAAGTAGGTGGACTTAGCTTTCGCCACTCAGCCCTGCCACAGCCAGCACCCCATCATCGCTTGCCCCTTCCTTGTCTCACTCAGCTTTCCAAAAGAAAACCTACAAAACTAAGAGATAATTATATCATAATACAACTGACATGGCATGAAGACAGTGAACAAAATGGAAGACATTAAAAGTTTTGATCTTGGAAACAGAAATTCAATTTTGCTAGGTATTTTATTTACTAGGTACTAGTAGTATGATCTAGTCTTAACTTTTCTCAGCTCTTGTTACTAACCTGGATATAACAGTACTTCAATCAGTTATTTTTTTGCTGTGTAGCAAACTGTTCAAGAGTGTTTTAAAATAATAATCATTTGTTTTTGCCTTGAGTACAAATTTTGGAGGAGATATTTTTTCTTGCTTTCTCACAGCATCAGCTGGGGATATCTCTGCTGGGGATGGACGATTGACTTCCAGGAATTTTTACTTACATGGCCAGCTAGTTTGTATGCGCAACTGGTTCCTCTGCATGTGGGTCTCTCCAGGGCTGTGTCTGACAGTGAGAACCTCTAGAGCACTATGCAGAAATGGTTTTGTCTTTCAAGAACCAGCCTCACCAGTCATATAACTTCTTTTTCAGTGTTGCTGTAAGAATGCCAGAATTTAAGCAAAGTCCCTCAAAATTATCTTGAAAGAAAAGCATGTGGGATGACCCACATCGATTTGATTGGTTTTGAAAAATGAAATCCTCCACCCTGCTTAATTAATAGGATTATTTCTAGGTGTAAACAAGTTAGTGTAAAGCCTTGTAATAACACCTAAGATAAATTGTCAACAAATGTTAGTCATTGTTACTTGAGTTCTACAAAATTTATACAATTGCTAAGGAATTTTTTTAAAAATGATGGAATAAGTAATTTTAATTACAGATACCTGTGTCATCATTTAATGTCCAATCACTAACTCTGTAAATCTCTACAAAAGCCTACATGAACACTTTAAAGATAAAACAGGCTTCTATAAAGTCCAGAAGAACTTGGCTAAAGGAATGTGGCCAAAGGAAAATGGCCAAGCCAGAATCTGAACATGAATCTATCCATGTATGTAGAGCTGAATACAAAGATATGGGCCCGCTAGTCATGAAAAGCTCTCTTTCACTGGAGCCTGTGAGTGTATCGTAAATGAGAGAACAGGGAAAGTAATGAAAAATGGTCTCAGGAAGGTGCTATAATTATTCCGAGAAATTCAAAGAGGACAATCTACAAAAGGGAAAAAATAAAGTAGAAGTCAAGGAGGGGCCTCTCGGCTCTTTTAGTGTCCCATGATAGATGCTTTCCTCTCCAGGTACCAGGTTCAGGATTCCCAGAAAGATTAAGGGTCATGCAATGTTCTAAAAGCTGCGATTTCTACTGTATGCATTGTACAATTGTTAGGTGAGCTGGGATGAATACACCAAGCAGGATTACTGAGTTATTATTAGTGCTTTCGCTCATTGAGAGTCATATAGTTAAGCTATATTATTACTGTCCCCAGCTGTACGAGGCTCACTGTCTAAACTTGGATGTGATTTGGAGAAAATCATCTTATAGTAGGTTTTTAAATTCTTTCCTGTACATTTGTAATTATCTTCCCACCATACCACGATGAAAGGCATATGAGGTTAAATTGAGTATAAATCCAAACTGAACATATAAATAGAATACTGTAACTGATAAGATCTGTGTCAAAGGAAGCTAAAGCGCAAAGAGGTAGATAGCAAGTCCGCTGATTTGGCTTATATTTTTTCCCTCACACAGAGTATGTGAAGATGAAAATAGGTTGGTGTCAATTCTCACAGCCCCGCTGGAAACCGTCCAGTGGCTTCCTAAACTTAAACAAAACTTCAAGTCTTTTCCGTTTCCTAGAATGATCTCTTTTTCCTCCAGCTGAGCCCCAGCCTACCTGGGCATTCTTCTCTATTAACAGCAGACTCATTTGAGACAATTGTCCTTTTGTGACTTGTACATTTCCAAGATGTCCCCACATTTAGATTATTGCCATTAGCTCTCCCTGGACCTGTAATGTGTATTTCTTAGACATTTGCCTCCCGAGGTTTTTTCTGTTCAATTTCTTTAGTGTCCTTAACATACTATTTATTCCAGTAAATGTGCTCTGTCTATCTTGCTCAAGATGAATCTCCCTTTGCCTCATGCTCACATAGTTAGCACGGCATTCACATTGGCTTACATTCATCCACATACAGAAATAAACTCACACAAATATATCGTAATGCATTCAGTTGTGCACTCAGTCATGTGCTACCTACTCCACACATGTGATCACTCACTCACTTCCACACCCACAAATACAACTCATCTATTCCCATTTACACCCTCATACTCATTCACAATCATACACACAACCACACGCGTGTTCATTTCCCTCTACCCCTTAGGTCTTTTTCATTGGTTTCCTGTCTTAGTTGCCTAGCAGTGATAACAGAATATGACTATATCTGTTTTATTTTCTTTTATTTTTAGTATGACTCATTGAAGATAAAATGATAACTGCTTTGCCTACTACTGAGTTTGTAGGTCCATGAACGTATCCGGCACACATGTTCCCAAGAAATACTAAATTCGTATAAATGTGGAGGAATCACACTTTAAGAAATCTTTCCAGAGAATTTCATGTGTGGAGTAGTGATACAGGATGTGAAGAAAGAGGAGAACTATGTATATAAGGAAAGATTTTCAGAGATAAAGCTTGCATTTGATTAAAATATAGACATGGGAGTTGGGCATGGTGGCACATGCCTGTAATCCTAGCACTCGGGAGACTGAAGCAGGAGGATCCTTGTAAGTTCAAGACCAATCTGGGCTACAATGTGAGCTCATAGTGAAATCCTGTCTCAAATAAAAAAATAAATAAATAGGAAAAAATACCCCACAAGTCTATAGAGGCTTTTAAATAAAGTATCTTGTTTTAGTTTTAGTTTAATTTAGTTTAGTTTTTCCTGGACACTAGGCTATGCTGTAAATTCCTGGCATTAATTTCATGGGCCATTCTGCAGACATGAAAAGAAGAATCAACAATTGAACAGTGTGACAATATATGTGATCTCCGCCATTCTCTTTTGAGAAGTGTAACTGAACATTGTTTGCCTTCCTCACTTGTGGCAGGTGACCCCAACATTTTATCTAGGGCCCCAATATTGTTTCATCACCCTTTATAAAGTGCATTCTTTTGGCAAGCAGGCCATCTGGACCTTCCTTCAATCCATTTTGTTCTTTCATGTTTTCAACTGATAGAAAGTTCAATTTCAAACCCTTTGAGAAATTTATTGGGATTCAATGCAACTTGATGTCTGAGAGCTGCCAAATAAAAAGGAAAATAAAAGGAAATTTCTTCTTCTTCTTCTTCTTCTTCTTCTTCTTCTTCTTCTTCTTCTTCTTCTTCTTCTTCTAGGCGTGTACCAGATGTCTGTGTCAGAAGCTGCTGTCCCTGGTGAGGAAGTGGGAAGAATGAAAGCTAAAGACCCAGACATTGGAGAAAATGGATTAGTCACGTACAATATTGTTGATGGAGATGGTATGGAATTGTTTGAAATCACAACAGACTATGAAACACAGGAGGGTGTGGTGAAGCTGAAAAAGGTGAGTTAGGGTGAACAACATGCTTGTCTATGTGTGGCCTTCTCTGCCAAGGCAATACTACAACAGAGTCAAAGGAGACAGAAGGAGAATTAGGTGGGTGGGGCCTGACCTCACTGTGTGAATGATCACGGAGCTCTATAGAGACAACAGAACTGTATTTCCTTCTGTTACTACAGAGGAACCTGAGCAAGGGGGCTGATTATTTCTGCCTGAGATGGCTGCTTTGTCCTCCTATGTTTTGGCACACTTCTCCTATAGAAGCAAAAGCGGTTAGAGAAACATAGACTTTAAAGAAGCAGCTCTAAGTTCCTTTAGCTGCACCCGTAAAAACTTTTGATATAAGGTGCTCAGAACTTCTCTCATTTCAAACACCCCAGGTTCACTTCACTGGTGGATCCTCTGTGAAATTTAAACAAATCCCTTTCTTGCTTAGCTTTCCAAATTGCAAAGAGAGAATCCAGAATAATAAACCTGTCCTCATAGTCAGCTAGATCCTCATTAGAAAGATGGCTTTTAAATTAATTCACTACAAAGAAAAGCACATTGTTTCTTCCTGGTTTTGTTTCTTTGTAAAAATAAATGTAGGGTCTATTCACCATTACCTGTTGGACAGACACAGCCTGAGTCTCTTACAAACATCTCATTTATTTTTAACATGCAAATTCTCATCTAAAATAAATAGCATTGTCTAATGAACAGTGATATTTTCAACTTAATTTTGAGACTGGGGCCCAGAAGGATTAAATATTTGACCTAACACAGTCACAGACATGAAATTCACACCTAGTATATCTTGTAATGTCTTCCCTCTTAACACGTTTTGGAAATAACTGAGCCAGAAAGAGCTAATAAAGAGAAGTAAGTTATGATTTCACTTTCAATTGAAGAATCAGTTACAATACATTCTAAAGCATATCTCTTGCATTTACCTCTTAGGAATCAACACTTCTCCATCCTCAAAGTGTATGGAGCATTAAATCTGAATTGGATGATGGGGTTATACTGGTTTTAATAAAGCATTTTCATTTTCTACTTGGTTTTGTAACATGAATACTAAGTTTCTTGAGGTTATGGGAAAGATTGGGCAGTAACACTGATAAAAAATTGATTTGAAGAATCAATAAAAAGACCAGTAGTTGAAGAAAAGATGAGAGTAGAAGGGGGAAGATTGAGCCTTGGGGGAAACTTTTAGGAGAGAGGCAAGAAGGGATGTGCTCCACTCAACTGACTTTTAAAACATTTAAAGCTGTTAGGTTTGGAGAGAAAATTTAGACAACACAGCAAAGAGAAGGCGACTGTCTTTACGACTGTCATGAAGAACAAAGAAAATGAAATGTTTAGAATTTGGAATGACTTTGGATGCTTACCACTGTATCATACATGATCTGACAGAGTAGGCCAGATTTTCTGCCACTTGGGGGCTGATGTAGTGATTTCCTTTGATTTCTCCTCTGGAAAAGTAGTTGTGGGGATTGTATGCACCCTCAAGCTGTCAAGTTCCTGTGTTAGTTCACATTAGTATCCCCTTAGCTTGGCACTGGTGTATTAACATCAACAGCAGCAATTCCTGCCTCCCATCCTTTGTCGCTGGAGTAATTAGGTAGTTGATTATGTTAAGGTTTCACGTATTTTCAGTATATTTGGGGCATTATATTACACACTGTGACTTGAAAGTCCTGAGAGATTTAAATCATGCTCATGGAACTCTCACATGGCAAATGAGTTATCTGCATGTGATTAACTTGTGTACTTTCCCCCAAGTCAGTATATTTATTATAAGCAGTGGAACAGTCTTCTAAATAGCACCCACATTCAGGTTCAAATGTAAGACGTCATTTTTGCAAAAGAACATTTATTTCCATTGATAGCTTGAAGTTCTAATTGTCCACTGGAAGGGCAAAAAATTAAAGATAGATTTTACAAGGTACAAATATGAGTCCTTGTGGAAGTCATTACATACAAGTTAATAATATAAAAGGATTTGGAGATATCATGCAAATATTTTATATTTCAAAGACATTATTTAACATGGTACTTTCTCCTCATTTATTAATTTATCCATTTTTTCCACCAAGAACTATTGAGTTATTATTTGTCAGGTAAGACCTTGGTACAGTAAAATTTGGAGATACAAAGTGGAAAGAGTTCTGGTCATAAGGATGTCACAGTTTTATAGAATAGCTCATAGGAAAATGAGAATTAAATAGAGTTCCAACGTCACCCTCCAGACCTGATAATGTTGATATTTTGAGCTGGATGAGTTTTTGTTGTAGGGCTTGTTGTGTGCATTGGAGGATGGTTGACTGCATCCAGGCTCTTCCTCCTGGGAGGTCCATAGGCACTCACTCAACCTAACCTCAACAGTTTTGTCACAAAACACAACCCTAGACATTGCCGAATATCCTCGGAGTGAATGGATCAAGCACTCCTCAGCAGAAAACCAACTACAAAAACTGTGATATGGGTCAAGAATGATTTCTAAGAGGAGTCCTTGAGTTGAGTGTTGGTAGTTGAACAACACTTTTCCCAGTACATAAAGAGAGAAGGCAGGGAAAAAATGAACTCATGAAGAACTAGAACCTGTAAAAAAGTCATATTTAGGAGGTTGCAATACACCTAATCTTTACAGAGTAGGGCCAGTTGAGAAAGTGGTGCTGGATTCAAGAGATATATTACAAAGAGCCAAAGAAGGCAGAAGAGGTAATGGAATGGTAGTAAAAGAGAAGAATTAACCAGTGGGTAGATTCATCTTTTTTTTTTTTTAGTCACTTAAAAGACAATACATGTTTATAGAATTTGGACTGTATATCCGGATTTAATAATGAAGAAGGATAACCTTCCCTCAGGGATTTAGTCGGTCTCCACGTGGTTAGCTGAAGAATCGTATTAAGTACAGATAAGCTTTAAGGTGTTTTGGTAGACAAAGGGAGGACAATCCAATCTGTTCATTGTAACACCCTTGACTAAGTAAGAATCTCATTTATTGCAGAGAAATTCCAGCATAGTTTCTGAACTGTTTATTTTCAGCCCAATATACTTGTGAGGCAATGTTAGGGCAGCGTTATGAGGCACTTTAAGTATTCTCTATGTTAATAAAACTATTTTTATGCCTGATTTTTCTTTATATTCATTGTCCACGTGTATATAGATGTGGATACATAACATTTAGCACGGTTGCAATCATAGGGTGATCTGATTTGTTAACTTAATGTCACATTGCAAACATTTTACATGCTGTTATATAACATAGATAATCATTTTTAATGACTCCATAATATCCTATCCTATGGATGGACCATTATTTCCTTAATAAAATCTCACAGTTGGATTTGATGTTTCATGTGCATATTTCCCCAGATTAGATATAACCCTCTACTATATCTAACAAATATTGTGCATTTGTGAATATTGTTTGTTTGGGTTTTCTGTTGAATTAATCCCTTAGGGAGAATTTTCAGAGATGGAGATTAATAAACGAGGGGGGTATTAAGATTTTTATTGCTTATGCAGTGTGTTGCCTCATTTAGCTTTATTTCAACTACTCATAACATGGATATAAATGTTCACGTGGGAAGCTACCTCAAATATTTTTTGGAAGGAGGATGAGAATAAATAGTAAATAAATGCTAACATGTTATCCACCCATCAGTCCTGCTCTTTATTCAGTCAAAATGATTGATGCATAGACTTTTGCATTGATGCAGTAATTCTGGGGCTTTAGAGAGGAAAAATCAGCAAAGATCAACTAAATAGAGCTCTTTGGTATGCTTCTAATCTACCATGGGAGGGAAATGAGGGATGCAGAGTCTAGATCAGAGGCCATACCAATCAGCCCGGGCTTACTGAGCAGAACTGCTCAAGGTCATGAGACTTGAGTGAGCTCCCAGAAGACCGAGAAGAATCTCACCAGATTGGAAAAACACACTGAAGACCCTAGCTGGGGATGATCCAAATGAAGTCTGACTGTAAGAGAGCAGCATGACTTTATTATACTCAGCACTCATAGAGCTTTCCAGAACAAAATGTGGGTCTGAACTTTTAGGCATATTCTTACATCAAATGCAAAAAGATTTGTTATAGGGGCATCAAAAAACTGAAAAAACTTCATCTTTCCTGATTACAAATTACTGAGTTTCAGAACTATAATATTCCAGTTTTTTATTTTAACCAGTAATTACAGAGATTGCAGTAATGTTATACCATTAGCCTACAAATATCATCTCTTTCCACTACTCAGTAATGTAGCTAATGACAAAGGGGCTCCTGGGTCTCCCAAAGGATGATCAACAGGCTGGCGGTAGAGTTAACTCTGACAAAGGGGAGTGTTCCCTGACTGTGGCAGATTGACATGGTAGTCTGATTGAATACGTTTAACTCTTGTGAAGCTAGAGTCCTCCTTGACTTGGAGTTGTGCAGAATTAGCTCAGGACTCAACCCCTCCACCTTATGCCCATTCCAAAGAAGTGTTTGTCAGGCAGAGGAAAACAGTGTGTCAAGCACATCCTGCCTTAAGATAAAAGTTTTTCCAAACATTTGGCAATCCAGAATCATCCAGAGTGATAATTAGAAACTTTTCCTTAGAGTTTAGGGTTCATTTCTCTGCTAAATATTTTACTTTTACCCTTTGCTGACAGATTGATTGTACTTTCTCTAACTCAAAATTAAGGAGTGTTTATCTTCAATGTTCCTATATCTCAGCCATTTAAATATTGTTTCTCTGTGTTATTCTATATCTACATAAAAATCTCTACCGATAATTCTTGTTTTACTTCAGATAGGTTTTTTTTTTGTTTGTTTGTTTGGTTTTTTTTTACTGTTTCTAAAACAAAGGTTTGGACCTGGGATATAGCTCCGCAGCACAGTGCCTGCCTCTCAAACACAAGATCCTATGTTTGATTCCCCGTACAAAATAAAATAAGATAAGATAAAATAAAGGATTATTTTCACTGTTTTATCACTTACCTGTAATGGAAGATAACCTATCCATGAGTTCAATCAAAACAAAACTGCCATTCCATTTTAGCTAAAGAGTAGTGTTTTAGTTTCCTAAAACAGTTACTGAGAAGCATAACCTATATGTTAAAAAGCAGTGCTATCCCAAGATGCTGTGAATTTAGAGAATTAGAAAAAACACTAATTATGCCAATAAGTAAGTTAGTGTTATCCAACAGTCCCTCTTATCAAAATTACCATTAAACTACCCAAAATGATTTTATGGGTACAACAGGTAAATGTTTAAGACTTTGTAAAATGCAGTGTACTCAGAAACTTCAAAGTGAGGCTATCCCTGTGACTGAGGTATATGAGTTGCGTGTTGATGTGGGAGGGGAAGGCAGTCATCAATAAGACACACTTTTGTTCTCTGAGTGGGCAATTTCATTAACAAGGTCTTAATACTTTAAAAAATGGGCTAAATTTTTTGATACTGTTTTATTTTCCCCTTTCCGATGGCTTTTAGAAACTGACTAGGGAAACCTTTGTGTTACTGTATAGAAGAGGATCCCTTTCACAGGATGTACAGGCTCTGTATCAGTCCTGGTCCTTGAATTACCCATTAAGCACATTCTAAAATTCAGGAATTGATTCATCTGATTTTCTGACCAACTGGCTCAGGTAATTGGATATTGAGTAGATACTGATTTTCTCTCTTTGAGAAAGCATTTACTTTGTCCTATAAAACAATCGAGTCTTTCTCTTCCATTGTCTTTCAAGGAATTAGTTGTCAATCTTCTCTCCATTCTTGCAGCCTGTAGATTTTGAAACCAAAAGAGCGTATAATTTGAAAGTAGAGGCTGCCAATGTGCACTTCGATCCGAAGTTCATCAGCAATGGACCTTTCAAGGACACTGTCACAGTCAAGATTGCTGTGGAAGATGTGGACGAGCCCCCCATGTTCTTGGCTCCAAGTTATATCCACGAAGTCCAAGAAAATGCAGCACCTGGCACTGTGGTTGGGAGAGTGCATGCCAAAGATCCTGATGCTGCCAACAGCCCAATAAGGTACAGGCCAATTAACTGTGACAGGTTGGAAGGGAAATTTTGGAGGTGAGAGTTTTGGGGAAGGTCCCCTGGGACCACATCATTCTCTTTCAGAAAACATCCAAGTTTATCAGGTTCAATGAAATTTCAGCAGGACATGAGGTCCACTTACCTCTGCTATTTATGTAGCTTGAATAAGCCTCTGCAGAAAGGTAATTTTTCTCTGGAGCTGATTTCCCAAGGTAATCCTAAGCGATTTAACCATTAGCTGAGCCTGTCTGCCTTAAGGACTTCACTTGAGTATAAATAATCATTATGAAATAATTAGTGTAATTATAAATTATTGAATGACTTCCTGTGCTCCAGTTACTTTACTAGGTAAGTTAGACATGATCTAATTTATCCCTTCAACTTTATGATTGCATGAATTATTTCTTAAACGAAGAGATTGTGGTTCTGCAAAATGAAGTCATATGCCCTGCATGTCACAATCCGAGGGCTGCAGGATAGGGAGGGAAGATCTTCCTGCTGATGAGTACTTGGAAATGATAAGAGAAGGTAAACACATTTTGAATGTTTGCATTATTATGAATCTACTGTTACTGATTAGAAAAGCATAACATATTTGGAAATGGAAAGAAAATATTCAAATGAGAAGGAGAACAAAGGAGGGAGAAAGGAGGACAGGAAGGAAAGGATAAAAAAGAAGAAAATGGAAACAAAACTTTTGTAAATAAGAAATAGATGAGAGGTTGAAGGCAGGGGAGGGGAACTGGAAGAAATGAGGAAGCAGATTATACTTTGTACAGGTACAAATTCCCTATGATGAATGTTATCACTATGTATATCTGAAATGTACTAATAAAATTAGAAAAAAAATGTGAAAAACAAAGAAGAGTGATGCAGAATCCTACTTGTACACTCTCATCCCTGTCCTTATAATGTAATAATGGGAAAGAATCTGAAAAAAGCTATAAGACATTCATAGGGCGCAAATGTACAGTGGTGTGAAATCTCTTCCCCAGATCAGATTCTACCACAGTTTTCCCTCTGTGGCTGCTTCCTAATTCCTTTCTTTTCTATTTGCCTTCCTGTACCCCTTTATGCCTTTCCTGCATCCTTATTTCAGCCAGCTTTTTATTATCAGTCCTGTAACCAGAGTGGTCATTATAAAATATACGTGCAAATGGCACCTACTACCTCCACTGAAAACAATCCCCAATGGTTGATAGAATTGTTCCTTGTTACCTGTCACATCCACAATAATCCAGATTGTTTTATTTAGTGTGGGGATCTTCACAGCCATTCAGTACCATTCTCAGGAGCATTCTCCTTTCTTCTAGTCCTGCCATTTGTGTTCTCTTCCTTATAGTTTCACTCTGAATTTTCAACTTGCTATACTGTGCTCATTCTGTCTCCCCTCATTTTGGAAACCCATCTTCTGCAAATTCTTCTAGGACTTCCTATAAACGGATCACACGTCCTTCCCATTCGTTGTCATCTCCCATCACTTTCCACATTACATCATAGTGAGATCTTACACTGTGTGTTGTCCTCAAAGGCACACAGTCAGAGAACTGGGATGAGTCTTTCTAATTAAGGAGTGAGAAATCTGCAGACTGCACACCAGATCTACCCACGTCTTACTTACTTTCCTTCCTTCCTTCTCTCTCTTTCTTTTCTTCTTCTTTCTTTCCTTCTCTCTTCCCTATTCTTTGTCTTTCTGTTCCATCCCTGAAAATTTGCATATCATAAAGCACAATGTGTTCCCTTGTAAGGTGCATGATTCTTTGGCTTTTAGTGTATTTTACAAGGTGGCTCAACATCGTAGTTGCTTACTTCCTGAGCCTTTTCATCACTCCAAAACAGAAACAAATAGTCTCAGTAACCTCTAGTTTATTCTGTACATTCTTTTATTTCAGACATTTCATATAATTGGAATAATATGATATGTGGTCTTATATAGTTGCATTTTTCCATTTAGTATCCATTGAGTTTAATTGTGTTATAGAATGTATGTGTAATTCATTGTTTTTTATTACTAAATCATATGCCATTGTAGGGATAAATGGTGTTTTATTAATCCATGCTCAGTTGTATGAATATTGTTTTTTTCCACTTTTGAATACTAGAACTGATGTTGCTATGAAGATTTATGTACAATATTTGTATATATGTTATATATATATATGCTTTTTATATAAAAAGTACTTTTTTTGAATTTCACCTCTGAGAAACGGAATTGCGGGCTCATACAGTAACTCTGTTTAACTACCTGAGGACTCACTAAAAAGCTTTTCACAATTATTGCACCATTTTACACTCATATCAGCAATCTGTGAGGCTTCTAATTTCCCCACGTCCTCATCAACACCTGTTATTGCTTGTGATTTTTTTATTTAACTGTCCTTGTGGGTACAAAATCATATTCCCCTGTGACTTTGACTTGTATGTTCTCTATTGACAACAGATATTGAGCATCTTTCCAGGTGCTTTTATTGGCCATTGATTTGTCTTTCTAGGGAAAATTTCTACTCATATTTTTTCAATGCTGTATGTACTAAAGCTTTATCAGACATATAACTTGCTAATGTTTTCTTTCCTTCTCAGTTATCTCTTTACTTTCTTGACTATATATTTTGAGATACAGAAGTTTTCAATTTTGATGAGGTTCATTTTTTCCCCTTTTGGTTGCCCTTGAATTTATGTGTCACAATATTTCCTACTATAAAGTCATGGATATTTATACCATATTTTCCTTTGTGAAAATGGATAGTTTTAGCTCTTATATTTAAGTCTTTGATCCATTTTAAATTAATGTTTGAAAATGTTATGAGTTAAAGTCCCAGATTTATTGTTTTCTATGTGAATATTCAACTTATCCATGCCATTTATTGAATGTTCTTTCTCAAATGAACTGTCTTGATATACTTCTTGAAAACTGACCATAGACCTATGTATTTATCTCTGGACTTTCTTTTATTTCATTGACATTATGCATTTGCCATTCCAAATATTACCATAGCATTGTAGTACATTTTGAAGGCAGGAGCTACAAGTCCTCCCACTTTGACTCAGCACCTACTTTTGTTCATATAGGTTTTAGGAAGATAGCCACACTAATTCTGTGTATGTTTTCTGTAACTGCTTTCATCTTTCATGCTAGAGGGCAGAATTGAGTAGTTTGAGTACAGAACCATTACATTCTGCACACTGTAATCTATATACTAGTCTTCAACATGTTTTCTGACATCTGTTCTATTTCATGTCTGTATCCTTCTGGTAAATATAATACAAGCCAGAGGGGATGTCTGATAAATATTTAAGGAATGAATAATTGAAATGACACTAAATTTGACTTTGAAATTCAAATTCACATTTTTTACTGTAAAAGATATATAAGTGATGAACTCATTTAGAAATGTATTCAGAAACCCTCGGTGAGCATATATCAAGATGCCCAGTGTACTTTACAAGGGAGATACTTATAAAAATTTGAGTAGACATTTCTCCAGTGAAGATGGGCAAATGGCTATCAGTTTTGTGAAAAAATGTTTGCTATCATTAACTATCAGGGGAAATGCAATGCAAAACCTCAGTGAAATTTTACCTCCTTCCAGTTAGATTGGCTGTTATTAACAAGCTCCTTCCCCTAAAACAAAAACAACAAAATACAAATGCTAGAAAAGATGTGGACTAAGGGAAATCCTGATGTATTTTTGGTAGGAATGTATATCAGTATATCCATTGTGGAGAATCAAAAAAAATATGATTCTAAAATCCTACTGTCAGTTATATATGCAAAGGAAATGAAATCAGCAAGTAGATAAGAAATCTCTGGTCCCACGTTTCGTAAAGTACTATTCATGATAGCCAAGATATGGAATCAACCTAAATATCTATGAATAAATAAATAAGCGTGATATATGGACACAATGAAATGCTTTTTCGCCATAGCAAAGCATGAAATCATATCAGTTTTCAATTGCAAACAATGTGGATCAACACAGAGAGAAATACGCTAGCAAAAGAACAGATATTAAATAACTAGAATCTTTTAAAGAGTTGATAGCATAAAAATTGAAAATACCAGAGGCTGGGAAGAATAGAGAAAAGGGAACACGGGATGAGCATATCTAATGGGAATTATGTTAAAATTAGGAGGAACAAGTGCCAGTGCCATAGACCACTGGTCTATGGCACAGTGCAGTGATTATGACAGTTGTTAATAATAAGGTACATCTAGGGCTGGGATTAAGCTCAGTGGCATAAGTGCCTGTCTGGGAAACACAAGGTTGTGAGTTCAATCCCTGATACCAATACCTAAATAAATAAATAAATAAATAAATAAAGTACTGTCTATTTTACACAACTAGAAGAAAGGGTTTTGAATACTTTTATCACCAAGTATTGATAAATATTCAAGGTGAAGTTTATGATAATAACTATTCTTTGATTGTATAATGTATATATTTATGGAAACATCACTGTGCTCAAAAACATATATATGTGTGTGTGTGTGTGTGTGTGTGTGTGGAGAGAGAGAAGAAGAAACAGAGAGTGAGAAAAAGAAAGAAAGAGAAAGAGAGAGACAGACAAAAGTATACACACCAGTAAAAGAAAAACTTGTATGACTGTATTTTAATGGTAAATTTATTGAGCCATAATGAGAATAATACAAGCTAGCTTTGGTCTCTACAATTACAGACAGCATTCACAGTGATGGCCATTATTAATACAGTGAACAGCTGCTTGGCTAATCTCGGTCTCTGTGATTTCTACACACGCATTTTCAATTTCTTCTCTAAGGGCCGGTGGGGTAGTGGGTATTCTGCGATACATGTCATCCTCCAGGGTCTCTCATATGAGGACAGCATCTGTTAAATAAACATCATATTAGTTTTATTTTTGTTGTTGTTTTTGGAAATGTGTATGTATGTTTTTGGTGGACTCTCTATCCATCTACCTACCTATAATGAAGCAGAAGCAATAAAAAGGAAAGGGATGTGAACACGAAAACATTTACCGTAGACAGTGAAGTTTATCCATTTATATCCGAGAATATGATAGCTGAAGCAGTTTAAAGCAATGTGTCGGATTTTTGAACATCATTCTTTTAGAGAAATGAGTTACCATTTTCAAAATACCTTTTTAGTACCAAACCATGTTTCACGAATTATTTCAGTTAATATTCTTGGCCATCTTTTAAGTCCATGACTGATCCATGAACCAAGAGATGACATTCCCATGATTTTAGGGATGATATGACTTCTTAAAGTCAAACAGCAAGTGTTGGAGGCTAGATTTTATGAAAGTTTGCCTGAGACATTTCTGAGCTTTTTACTTTTATCCATTGGTCATGAATAGCGAGATTTACCCAGAAAGTTTGTTGTGCTCTTTCTACGCAGGAAGATACATTAAATAAAGTCTGGGAATCCTTGTAACACCTTCATACTATGTTTAAAAATGTTCATGATATGAATTTTAGATGAGTTATCTTTGATTTCAAATACTGAGTTGCATTGGTTATTTTAGAATGACAATGAAACAAAAACACAGGAAACAGCTCTTCATTTCCCGTGCACTTCATTGTCTCCAAGGAGTCACATCTGCACTTGGTGATTGGGGTTGCGTTCTCAGTGGTAGCTATTCTGTGCATGTAAGCAATTTCCATATCGATAATTATCCAAGGTGCTCAATATTGAACCTGAGCCAACCTCTCACCTCATCAACTTTGGATTCTGATTTTAGAATTGTCAGACAGTTTATGAAGGAACATTCTAGTTTTTTTTATTCAGAGGGCTTGCTATCCTCACAGTCTAATTTCCTGGCTCTCTTTTCATCTTTAAGAGGATTTGTGAACTGGGGCACATAGGCAAGACCTTTCAGTACTAGTTAAGCTTTTGGCTATTTGGACCTTTTCAGATCTTTTCATTTTCTCAGCTTCTGCAGCATTAGACATATTTTTGTTTAGTATTATCTCCCTGAAATAAGTACTTGTCTTAGCTTTCTCGGCACTCATTTATTTATGCCTCAGAAAATACGTATCTGGTGTCTTTGATCATTGTTCAGGCACTGAGGACTCCCTAAGGTTCAGCTTTTTGACTTATTTTGACCTTTCTCTTCTTATGACCACTAACTTACAGGATTTTCTTTCATGCTATGATTAGATTTGGTTGATACCCTATGTTCTCTGCCTCTAGGAAGATTTTTCTCCCTGATTCTAATTCTGTACTTATCTTAGCGTCTGTTACGTATTTTTACCAAATTCCTTTTCCTTCACTGTCTTACCCATTAATTCAAAAGATAATTTGAGCTTACACTTATTGTGACATACTTAAAAATTACAAACAGCTAATTAAATTCTGCCTACCACAGAATTTTGCTCTCATAGTATCGCAGGCAGCCTTTGTTAATTTCAGCCCCTCTTTTCTGCTGAATTCTTATTGTCTCCCTTAATATCTCCCTTTCAAGCACTCAGGTTGGAAGCCATGTGCAAGTTTCCCAGTCTCCTTCAAAGAGCAAAATATGCATTGGGTGCTACTGATTCTATCAGTCACTCCAAAATCTTAGTCACCTTCCTTATCATAGCCTAAACTTTTCTCTTTTCTTTCTTTACTCTCTCTTGCAGAGGTCATCTTCCTTAACTTACCTCATTAACATCTAGATGGCTGGCTGTCACTTATTTGCTTCTACATTTTAAAAGCCCTCCATAATTTCTCAGTGGCTGTAGGATGGTCCTGCTCTGATTTTTGAGAGCTTATGGAATCTGTCCTCGTAACAGTTCCAGCAACAATGCAAACAATAGCAACTCTTGCTGGTTGTGTTTCCGCTTGCGTGTGAAGCATGAGAATGTATCTTACACATCTGCAATTTCATGTAATTTTTAAAGATGAGAACTGGGCATTATTAATGTTCCAGTTTAAAAGGTAAATGTGCTGAGACAATACACCCAAGAAAACATAAGGCAATAATACTGTTAACATTCCAGTTTAAAAGATGAAACCTAAGTTCAAAGATACCAATGGATTTCCCCAGTGGTATATCATTCAGTTTATATTTGGTGGATTATGATTGTATCTAGGATTTTCCAAAAGCAAAACCCAAGCTCTTCAATATTAAACAATGTCTTTACTTACTATGTTCCTTTCAATATTAAGTTCCCTGGTGCAGGAAATATGTCTAAAATTTTCTCACACAGTGCTTGCTGATGAGAACTGGAGTCACTGCTCACATTTATGAGACGTATGACCATATTTAGTGTTACCAGTGGGGAAGGAGGTTCATCATTAAATTCCATGAGAACGTTTGAAAGTCAAAGGTCTTCATGGATGAGCTCTTGTTTGGTACACTGTGAAGTACACTGTTTTCTATACTGCTTAGTGGGTAGCCTATCTTTTCTATTCCTATTCTATTTCTAGTCTATTCTATTACTAAAGAATGCTGTTTAGAGTTGGATGATCTCAGCTTCAACTTTGACTCATTTAGAAACTAGAGATAGGACATTTGTAAATGTCATCTTTTTAATATAAAAGAGTAAATCCTATGATACCCATGGTCTTTTCTACCTCTCATAGTCTTTAATTTTTGATCATCAATAATCAAACTACATGAGTTTTGTAAGACATAGGTGTTTGGCTGAGCAAAACCCAGTTATGATCTCTAGGAGCACGAAGCCAGTCAATTATGAAGCTCAGCACTCTAACAAATTAACACAACCCATCTTTCTTGCTTTCCATCTGGGTAATGGTAGGGTGTAGTGAAAAGGGAAAGGGTTTTAGAGCTCAACAAAAAATTAAAACTAAAGCTGCAATACTTACCAACTCTGAGTCTCTGAGCAGGTGGCTTTACCTTGCTGTACCTCCATATAAGCCATTCTTCCTTCACCATCTCCCATTTAACACTGCTATACATATACCCCAGTAATATTCTAGAAAATTTTGTCTTTTGTTAGGAAAAGATAAACTTTCTAATGCCCCGGAGTATTGTTGTGTTCCAGTTGTGTTGTTAGGTATAATGTGTAATCAGTAAAGTCTAGAAAGAATGACCTGCAAATTCAGGGCCAGTGCTGATTGGTGTACTGACACTGGAATTCAGAATCAAGTTACTTGAGTATCAGTGTAACTTATCAAACTAAAGAGACTCACTGAAAATACAGCTAATGTTTTTCTTCATATAGAGAGAAAACTGAATTTCTGGTTTATAAATAATCTTTGATGATGAATTTAAATAAACTTGAAACTATTTAATGCTTCATATGCAAAAACTTGGCAAAGCTTTAGTATATTTGTGACTTTCTGAGTAGTTTGGGAGCAAGGCAAACTCACGTCCCAAACGCAATTTCATAAATATTCAGATGTGGGTGACTGTAGTAAATATGGAGAAATATGCAACACATTATTATACTTCTCAATCAAATATGCTAAACAGTTTTTTCATTCATTGTACTGAAGAAAGTATTCCTATGTTGCAAAATGATTCCTATAAAAGATTCATGGATAAAGTTGAAAAGTAAATTTGATTAAAAAGAAAACTGAGCTCCAGCAATTCGCTGAAAAAGTTGCTTTAAATATAGCATAGAGAAAGTACTCAGATATTAAACTGCTCTGAATATCTTGGTCTAATTGCCTCATTTGCATTCGGCTTAGGTATTCAATTGATCGTCACACTGACCTCGACAGGTTTTTCACTATTAATCTAGAGGATGGTTTTATTAAAACTACAAAACCTCTGGATAGAGAAGAAACCGCCTGGCTCAACATCTCTGTCTTTGCAGCAGAAATCCGTAAGTCTTCTCCTAAGGGTTTTGATTTTACTTTACCAAATAGTAATCCTTCAGACTTTTTCTATATTCTGGGAAACCAAATAGTTAAGAGGGATTTCTTTAAAGTCTCAAGAACTTTTTGGTTGTTTGTTTTTGTTTTATATTTGAAATTTATGTTCAGACATTTAGGAATACAAAGGCAAATAGCGATAATTTCATTTTCTTTGGCAGAATTCGATACGGACTTGGCAAGATAGCTGATAGCCCTCAGCAGTTTAAAATCCTGTTATACTCAAAGCAAAAGCTATAGAGGCGAGAGCTGCAGATTTTTATTTACTTGTAGAGCAGTATTTCTCAAACTTAATCATGCACTAAGCCCTCCATTTATCTCATACATAGCTTAACATAACCAGTATTTCTGGACTCCATGCTGGTATCTCTGATTCAGTAGATCTGACATCTGTCCCAATACTTTGTATGTCCATCTCATTCCCAGATAGTTTTGATGCTCCTGTAAGGGTCCTATTTTGAGAACCACTGTGACAGAGTTGGTTCCAGAATGTCCAGGTTCTATTATTAGTGTTCAAAAAGCAAGTTCACCATCGTTGTCAGCAGAAGTGGATGAGTGATTTAGTTCTTACTGCTCTAGTTGACATTTATTCATGTCATCTTTCTTCCACTAAATTGAACATACTTTAGCTCCTAGATGGACTTTGTGCCAATAATGCGTTTCCCTGAACTGCCTGGAAGAGTAGGTTAAAGCTTACTCTTTCCCAAGAGTGAATAGGGAGAAATGTGTAGTTTTTACCTGGTATTTGTTTACTGTCTGCATTCTCTCTTCTCAGACAACCGACATCAGGAAACCAAAGTCCCAGTGGCCATTAGAGTGCTTGATGTCAATGATAATGCTCCCAAGTTTGCTGCCCCCTATGAAGGCTTCATCTGTGAGAGTGATCAGATCAAACCCCTTTCCAACCAGGTAATGCTGCTCTCTCTTTCTCTGGTGAAATGCAAGAAATTGATGAGTAGAATTTGTTTTTGAGGAGGGGAGGAAGTATTTTGAGGAGGGGATTAAGTATCTTTCTGTTGCTCAAGGAGATTTTCTAGACCTGGTTTTGCTCTGAAGCTATATTCTCTAATTAAAACCTGGCATTTAACTATCCAGGTAGTTTTGAATAAATGATACGCCAATGACATCATGATTTATTTGCAGACCACCTTTATCTTTCAGCCAATTGTTACAATTAGCGCAGAAGACAAGGATGACACTGCCAATGGACCAAGATTTATCTTCAGCCTACCCCCTGAAATCATTCACAATCCAAATTTCACAGTCAGAGACAACAGAGGTTTGTACTCAGGTTTCTATTCATTCTCATTCGGAGAAGAAGAAGTGGAAAACAAATGGCTTTTATATTACACAGCACAAATATTTTCACTAATCTTAATAATGCTTTCCTGTTGAAGCACAAACAAGAAATAATAACGCCACCTCTGTTTTGACACATGGGCTCATTTGATGCATATGAACAAGTGAGTCTAATTTTATGTTCCTTTTTTATTGGTTTTGATATTCACGAAGCAGTGGGAATGCCAAATGGGGAAGCTTACAGGGTCAATATGCAAACAACTCCATTTTTTAAGAGGTTGATAAACCCTTGGGGAGAAGTATGGCTTTATGAATATTGATATCAAGTAAAACATTAAAAGAGATTAGTTCAGCTTTGCAAGGCAATATAATCTTTCAAGCACAAGCCTTCCTCGCCAAAGTACAGTTATAATGTAGTCTAGATGGATATAGAGCTTGCTACTTAAAAGTGAAGGACTGGGATGCAGCAGTTTGTTCACTGGAAATATAGCAAAATGTGACATGATTGTTGTATCTCATTGTGTCATTCAAGTGAGATCTAGATTTGTAGGTTATTAATAGTAGAAGATGATATTGTTGTGCACAGATGTTACAGACCCTGTGGAAAGTTGGTGGCAAGGCCTGGGAAAAAACATAAACTTTTCAACTCAGCCAGGCTGGTTTTCTCTCAGTGTTACTTCTTAATGAACACTGTGCATATAAACCTGGACGATACAGATCTGTGAAAGAAGGGAGCCAGTGGCATTGTGTAGCATACGAGTGAAAGGTGGCAGCTGTGAACATGGAAGTTTTCTTTAGTTCCAAATGCCCAAGGTTGCTTTCTGGGTGATTGGGCAAGATCTTTAACAAAGCAAATGTTACGCTTTCTCTCCTCACTGGCATCACTGTCGTCAACACCATTATGCAATAGTTTTGTTCCAAGCACCATGTCAAGACCTTCACTCTTCTGTTCCCTTAATTCTCTTCACACTAGAGGTAGGCATTATTGGTAGTTCCGTTTTACAGATGAGAAAGTGATGCACAGAACTATGTCTTAACTTTCCTAAAATTATTCAATAAAATAGAATTTAGAGCTGAGTTTTAAGCCCAGGCACTTATTTGTTGCCAGGCCATTCCCTTAAATTCCTTGTCAGATTGATTAAAGCAGACAAGTGCACCCTAAGCTACTTGAATTTTGAAAGAATATGATTTGTCCCACTTCTTTTAAATTTCTTGAACTGATTTGAGCTTTTAATCATGGGCCTTATAAATCAAATACATAGCAAATGAGACAGTTAAAATGTCCTAAGTTTCATGACAGAGACTTTTCTCTCCAGGCGCATTGCTTTCCCCTGTGAACTTGCTCTTAAGCACCAAGGTGAGAAGGAAGTTGTACGTGCAGAGACACGTGTTTTAAAAGCAGCCTTGGAGAACAACTCATGGTGTGCCTCATAAATTATTTCCATCATTTTGAGACAGAAATGTTATTTATCATTCTTTAGTTTCACACTCAAGCTAGGAATTTTCTTTTCCTTGTTGAATTGGTTCATGTGAACAGGTGATGCAAGCCCTTTAAAATGATGATTCTGCCGAGCACTAAGCTAAATGGGAACACACAGCACTCCTGCACACACTTTGGGGGTTACTCAGATGTAATGGAGGAATTTTCTTTTGTAATGATAGGTTTTCCCAAAATGGAAAGAGTCCGACACGTGCTCAGCATTTAATGAATGTGTAATTATCTGAACTGAAATAGGTAACATGAATAGAGTTTTCATAAAGCTTTCTAAGGTACGTGTGCACTTGGGTTAATAAAAGTCTCTGCCGCCACTCTTAGAATATTCTATCACCTCAAATTAGTTTTCAGCTCTACCTGAGATTGGCAATTTACTCTATTTTTCCAGCATCAGTTTGTGTCAGTTTTATGATGAAGAAACGCTTCTTAGAACATATTTCATAGTGAGTTCAACTTGATCAATGAGGAGGATTGCTTAGTTATCCAGAAAATTCTGATGATCTCACACGCTTTCTGTGCTGCTTTTTATGGACTCTTATTTTAAGAAATTAACTGAGACAGTGTCTCGCTGTGCTGCCCAGGCTGTTTTCTGAAATATCTGTGATTCAGTTTTTCTGTGTGGGTTGATGTTGCCCCAACTTATCTTTGACATCTAGTTCCTGACTCCAGGCCAGCCAGGATCCCCGATTATCATGAGATGCCTTATGCAAACAGCCAGCTCTTTCAGGCTTTACTCTCTGTGCCCACTTCTCCACCACCTGCCCTGGCCTTTTTATATGTGTATCATGTTGGGTTACTGTTATCTTTATAAACATTACATTAAGTCCTATTGTGCAGGGCGTATTTGTCGTAGTACTTCTCGAATGTCATCTGCATTTTCTTGGAGATTATATCACCTAGGAAAAGCTAACTGTCTACCCTGTCCATTTCCTCCACCTTTTCTGTAGGAGACTAACTGTACTATTGAGCTACCAGTTTAGCAGAGAATTGCTACTTTTTAAGAAAAATTACTTTATTAACTATGGCAAACAGTTAATGAAAACTCCCATGTTTAGAGCTATTACAAACCTTAAAGCAAATACAGTCCTATAATTATCATTTAATAGAGTTTCTTTCTGCCAGCTCCTAAAAGTAATTACATATTGAAGTAATCCAAAAGGAGTAATCACATTCCACATGCTATTAATAGCCTACTGAGCTACCAAATTTCTAGGCTGAGACTGTTTTCCATAGAAAACATGAGATAATGGTTTATATCATGCTGAGTAAAAGCATCAAGTTACTTTCTTCTTGAGTGTTTACCTCCTTTATGCCATGTAAATAATCACTATTGTGTTTGCCTAAACTGGGCATAAGCATTTGGCATCTTTAGAAATGCAAAAGGGAAAAGCATCTTAATACATGTAAGCCTTTTATTTCATTTTATCTTGTGCCATGCTACAGCTGGAGCCTCAAAGCCGACTCTGTGGGTAGTCAGAAAGGGACCACTGAACGAGTCTTCAATGTTTAAGTCTATTTTGGACTATTAATAACAGGAATGATGTTGTTTGGGCAGCTTGTCCTCCTAGGGTTTAAGATGCATTTACTTTGAAAATATCAGGCTTATGACAGCTCTAAAAACACCAGAAATGTGTAATAGACAAGAAAAGTACAAGAGGGAAGAAAACACAAAAACAAAAAGTCTAAGGTTAATATCTCTTGTCTTTCTAGCTCCTTACTGACTTAATAACAAAAACAAAACAAAACAAAAAAAATTGAAGACCCTTTGTTTCACCTGGTTTTAGAAACATTCTTTTAAACTGAATATATTATATATTTTTATTTGTATTTCAAATAAAGCAAGAAGATGGCATAGAATGGTCAGTGACTTTTTTAAGGTCATGGTACCAATAAGTTAAAAAACTAAATTTGGGTGTTTGGAGGTTACTTACTGGTATGTGTTACATTTTATAAAATGAACATGAAGTTCATGTTTTTGTTCTTGCTTTTTACTTTTCAAAAGGTCTTTGTTTACTCACAGATAATAGCAATCATCTGAAAAGAAAAGTCTGTAATTCAGTTCACTAGTCTAAGGTTCCAAGGAAGGTGTAAACAAAAAAAAAGTTACTTCAGTTTCCATTTTAATGACAGCCACATAAGTGCAGCAAAATATATTTGCAAGACTTTTGTAATTTTTTCTAATGTGTAATTAATACATAGCCATCGTAGTAAAATTGGAAAGCACAAACAAGAAGAAATAAGATTTAAAATAATAAAATAACTCAAAATATATTACCCAAAAGTAATCACTGATATTTTGTATACTATTAAGTTCTTTTTCACTTTTCTTTTTTTTCTAAAAAAGATGCAATTATCAAGTATAGGTCCAGTCTTTTGCTACTGAGTGTATGATATACATTTTTCTACATCAACGTATTCATGCGAATTCTTTCTAATTATCTTTCTAACATTTGTTGTACGGTATCATCCCACTTTTGTGTACAGGTACTGCACACTGTTTCAAAACATCTTTTCCAGGTACATATCTAATTATTCTTGTAAGATAAATTCCTTGAATAGAATCAGTAGATTAAAATTCCATATTAAATATTATACTAATTTATAATACTATCTGTAAAGTAGTGTATAGATTAATTTAAGATCTAAAAATTTTTAAATACTCTCTCTATTCAGAAGCCTGTCCTTTCTTTCTCTTGAGTCAGTTCTCTTTTGTTGTGCTGTGTTGCAGCTTCATTTTTGTTTTATGTATTTTTTACTAAGTTTATGGTTAGTTTTAGATTTTGGGTGCTACTGTGAATGAAGATTTTAGTTATAGTTTTTGGCTTTTGTAGTTTGAATTGAACATTTTATCTGATACTATTGTCTTTCCTTGCTCAGCATATAAATTGTGCTCTTTTTTTCTTTTTAAATCTTTACCTTAGAGTTTAAATTATTACAATTGCAATCAACCCAAGTGCCCTTTCAAATAACACCATACCGCTTAATGAGTATTTTGAGTACCTTGTATTAATAGAATGATCCTAATTCCTGTCCCCTGTTCCTTGTATCATTGCTATCACTTGCTTTACTCATCCATAAACATGTGTATGATTGAATAAAATAATTAAATTGAAAAATTATAGTATTGAACCTCACAGCCGTAATTTTCTAACCTGTTCTTCTAAACAATCAACATTTGATGAAGTGTAGGGGAAAGCGCAAGGCTTAGAGAATAAATGCTTGATTCTGCTCTGTACCTCTAAAAAAGGAACAATTTTCATAGTAATAGTTGAATATTTTACACATAGTTAATCCTGATATTATTTTATGAAAAATTACCAAGTTCTGTACCACTTTTAACTCATGAGTGGAGCTGGTATTTTGAACAGTAAAGGCCCAGAAATACCAAATGCTGAGCATACGATTGGAATACATCTCAGGATGCCAAAGCCTGAAGGCTGCTTGCGTGGCAATAGGCTAAGTCCATGAAAATTGGAGTTTTTTCA